TTGGGGGATTTGGGGTTTTTTGGGGTTTAGGGGTTCAGGGTTGGGGGTTTAGGGTAGAGGGTATAGGGTTTAGGATTTAGGGTTTAGGATTCAGGGTTCAGGGTTCAGGGTTCAGGGTTGGGGGTTGGGAGTTTAGGGCCGTTTGAACCGCAAGAGGTTGAGACTTGTTGGGTGGAGGAGTTTAGGCTTCCAGGCTTTCAGGGTCTCGGGGGGCGCGGCCTTGAGGGCTTGGTCTATGTGGTGCTTTAGGGTTTAGGGTTTCGGGTTTAGGGTTTAGGGTTCAGGGTTTTGGGTTCAGGGTTCAGGGTTTAGGGTTTGGGTTTAGTGTTTAGGGTTTAGGGTTTAGGGTGCTAAGTTTCCTTGTTCTGTTTACATTCCTTCGTTTTTCTCTGGTTTTTGGAGGCTGGATTGCAGTTGCTGCGTTTGCCTTCTCTTGGCCATGGCAATACTCCGTCCACTGCATTGTATTATAAGTGAGGCTATGATTCTAGTTGTTTATATGGTTTCAACATGTGTGGCTGACAACGGGTGGAGGAAACTTCAACTTCGGAAGGAAATGTCGCTGACAGGGTTTTGGATTTGGGGGCGGCGAGGCGTTGCACCCACACCGCAACCTTCAATCCCACAACAACCCTAACCCACCAAACCTCAAACCATAAGCCTTAACCCTAAACCTTCAACCCTTAACCCTACACCCTGAACCCGGGACCCAGAACCGTATCTGAGGTACCCTTTGAACCTAAACCCTAGGCCCTGAACCCTGAAGCCTCTCAACCCTACACCCGCTCAACCCCAAACCCCCGGAGGCGCCGCAGGAACATGTAGACCAGGCCAATCGTGAGGGTCATAGAGGCCTTATGCTGGCCCTTAACTCTCCCCCCCCCAACCAAAAAAATCGCCTCACAAAATAATGGTTTAGGGTTTGGGGTTTAGGGTTTGGGGTTTCGGGTTTGGGGTTTCGGGTTTCGGGTTTGGGGTTTGGGGCTTGAGGTTGAGGGCTTAGGGTTCACGGTTCAGGGTTTAGGAGCCAAGAAGAGGGAAAGCACGAAACGGAATTCCAGGTCATTCCTAGGGGCTGGGAAGAAGAGGGCGTAGACGCCGAAGGCATTCTCGGCATAGGCACCTCTTCGGGGGCAGCGCAAGAAGACCAAGCGGCCAGTTTGGTTTAAGGTTTAAGGTTTAGGGTTTGGTGTTTAGGGTTTAGGGTTTAATGTGTAGGGTTTAGGGTTTAGGGTTTAAGGTATAGGGTTTAGAGTTTGGTGTTTAGGGTTTAGGGTTTAATGTGTAGGGTTTAGGGTTTAGGGTTTAAGGTGTAGGGTTTAGGGTTTGGTGTTTAGGGTTTAGGGTTTAAGGTGTAAGGTTTGGGGTTCAGGGTTGGTGCTGAGGGTTCAAGGTTTTAGGGCTTAAGGTCTAGAACAGGTTTCTCGACATCTTTCGGATTTCAGAGCTTGGGGCTTAGGGTTTCGGACAGGCTGCTCTGCAAGTTTTCAGGGTGTGGGGGTTCAGGGCTTAAGGTCTCCAGCCCCTTCTGAAACTCTCCTCAACCCTAAACCCTGAACCCTAAACCCTAAACCCTAAACCCTAAACCCTCAGCCCCGCCTAGGGTGCTGCCCACAACGAAGCAAATCCACATCGGGAGGAGAACCAGGAGCTTCCGGGCATCGACGCCGATCTCCGCCTCTAGGGTTTAGGGTTTAGGGTTTAGGGTTTAGGGTTTAGGGTTTAGGGTTTAGGGTTTAGGGTTTTGGGTTTTGGGTTTTGGGTTTTGGGTTTTGGGCTGTTTGTCTCCTTTTGGCTTTTTGGGTTTTTCGGGCTTAGGGTTTACGGTTTAGGGTTTGGGGCTTGTTGTTTGGGGCTCAGGGTTTAGGGTTTTTTCTGGTACAGGTTTTCTTCCGGCTTTAGGGGTTTACAGGGATTTCTTCGGGCTTTAGGGTTTCTAGGGGCTCTCAGTGATAGGCAGCCCCCCCCCCCCCCCCCCCCCCCCCCCCAAAAAAAAAAAAAAAAAAGCCCTAAACCCTAAACTTCCCTCAGCCACTGAAGCCCTGAAGGCCGAAACCTCTCATCCCTGACAAGCACAAACCCAAAAACCCTAAGCCCCCTCAACCCCTCAACCCCTAAACCCTAAACCCTAAACCCTAAACCCTGAATCTGAACCCTCTAAACCCTAAACTCTTCAACGGCAAACCTGACACTTCCTCCGGGCATTCAAGGCGGGGCCTTCTCCAATACGTTCATGCGCGACCGCCTGCATCCTGCTTCTAGGGTTTAGGGTTTAGGGTTTAGGGTTCAGGGTTCAGGGTTTCAGGGGTTCGGGTCTTAGGGTTTCTGGAGTTTAGGGTTCAGTGTTTGGGGGGTGCCCGAATGCGTGCTGCCTCACCCTGTCTGCGTCGTCGAGGCATCTCCGGCAATAAGATTCCATCACAATCGGGTTGAAGAAGCAAAAGCCCTCACCCCTCAACTCCTAAACGCTATGGCCCCCAACTAGTCGCGAGTTTTGAGGTAGCCTTTTTCAACCTCCTTCTGACTCCGGACCCGCCCAGGATCGGCCTTGAAGACTGCGCTCCAAACCCGTTTAGGTCCAGGGCTTAGGGTTTGGGATTTTGGGTCTTGGGCTTGGGATTTTGGGTTGGGGGTTTGGGGCTTAGGGCTGGGGGGTTTTGGGTTTTGGGTTTAGGGCGTCGTGCCTTTCCGAAGGAAGACCATCGCAATGCCTCGGTTTAGGTCTGAGGGACTCGCCTACATGGATTGAGGGAACATCGCAAGTTCCGGTGCTGCACCCCTGAGGGGCCTGAATGGGCTCCAGGAGCCTTCAACATGGCTTCGGAGGTCCTTGTTGCCCTTAGGGTTTAGGGCCTGGGGCTTCGGGCTTGGGGCTTCGGGCTTGGGGCTTCGGGATTCGGGAGGTTGCCCACCTCTGGACGGGTTTGCGCCCCAAAGTTTCCGCTGGCATGTGCTTTGAGGCCACCATGGACTCCCCCGAGGCATCGAGCACGAAGTGTTCCGTGACGACCAAGCCCTAAACCCTTAACCCCACAGGGATTAGCTACCTTGTGTCACCCGACATCTCCCCTTTAGAGGACTCTATAGGTTACCTGGTTCCCTCATTCCCTACAAAGAACCGGGAAGGATAACGTGAGCACGATCACAAAGCGAGAAAACCCTAAACCCTAAGCCCTGTACCCTAAAAACCCCTAAAAACCCTAAAAACCCTAAAAACCCTAAAAACCCTAAAAACCCTAAAAACCCTAAACATCCTAAAAACCCTAAAAACCCTAAAAACCCTAAAAACTCTAAAAACCCTAAAAACCCTAAAAACCCTTGGGGTTTTCTCCCCCCGGAACGGTCGAGGCTATGGGCTTGGGGCTTGTTAGCGCTGATCAGGTTAGGGAGCCCTAAACCCCAAACCCCAAACCCTAAACCCCAAACCCTAAACCCTCAACCCCAAACCCTAAACCCTAAAGCCTAAACCCCAAGCCGAGACCCTAAACCAGGGGCTGGATCTGCCAAGGCTCGGCCCAGTGTCGAGCCGATGTCCGTCAGGGTGCCAGTGACGTGCGTCGTCCGGACCTTTGGGGAGTTTTACGGGCTTTAGGGGCTTTAGGGGCTTAGGGGTTAGGGTTTAGGGTTTCGGGTTTCGGGTTTAGGGTTTAGGTTTTAGGGTTTAGGGTCTTTAAGTTTGAAGGGTTTTAGGGGCGTAGACTGGTGTCGGGGTTTACGAAGCCCCCAAGCGAAACCCCTGCCCCCCTAAACCCCAAAGTTTGAACCCCAACTCTCAGCCCCCTCAACCCCAAGGCCCTAAGCCTTAAGCCCCTAAACCCTAAACCCTAAACCCTAAACCCTGAACCCTAAACCCTAAACCCCAAACCCCAAACCCTCAACCCTCAACCCTCAACCCTCAACCCTCAACCCTCAACCCTCAACCCTCAACCCTCAACCCTAACCCTAAGCCTTAAGCCCCTAAACCGTAAACTCCCTCAACCCTGGCGAAGGTCTCAGGCTTTAGCTCTTTACCGAGCCCCTAAGCCCTGCGCTGCGAAGACACGAGATCAGTTTTAGGGTTTCAGGTTTAGGGTGTAGGGTTTAGAAGGTATAGGGTTTAGGGTTTAGGGTTTAGGGTTTAGGGTTTAGGGTTTAGGGTTTAGGGTTTAGGGTTTAGGGTTTAGGGTTTAGGGTTTAGGGTTTAGGGTTTAGGGTTTAGGGTTTAGGGTTTAGGGTTTATGGTACTTATAGAAGCCAGGAGAAAGCTAGATGAACATGTCAGGGTTCAGGGCCAAGGTTTGGGGTTATAGGTTTTCTTAGACTGCATCACCCTAAACCCCAAACCCTAAACCCTAAACCCCAAACCCAAAGCGTTCAGGCTTTAGGGAGTCCAAACCGACTGCGCCCAGATGCCACTGCGCCAAAGTGCGAAGTGCACATGGCATTCCTTGATGCAGTTTGGGTCTAGGGTAGGGTTCAGGGTCTGGGGTCCAAAGGGAATCAGGGTCTCCTAGCCCGTTGAACGTTGTTTATGAACAGGTTCCCTCTGTCGGGCTTAGGGGCTAGGGCTTAGGGCGTCCCCTCTTGAGAAATACAAAATCGCTCCTGAGGAGGAGCTTGTTCCCAAACTAAGGCTAGCTACTGCAGAAGGAACCCCCCAACCCCCTCATAATTCAACCCCCGCTACCCCCCCACAAGATTTGAGATCCTTCCACTATAGTTCCATTATAGTATACAGCAGCGTATATAATACTAGGGGGGGGTTGATTCGGGGGAGGGGAATTGACCCCCCCAACCCGGACCTTGCCCAGCTCTCTTTTGTCGCCAGACAGCGCAAAGGAAGCACCTCTTCGAAAGATGTCGGAGGAGGCCCCCAGCCGTCGCCAGATGAAACCTGAGGGCAACGTACAAACCGAGCTTGTCAGAATTTCTGTGTTAGCGTAACTAACCCGAAAACCCTAGGCCCTAAAACCCTAAACCCTAAAACCCTAAAACCCTATAAACCCCAAAACCCTAAAACCCTAAACCCTAAGAACCGCCCTCGGGAGTCCACAGAGAAACGGCGTCGCCACCCAGGCCATCGAGTTGCTCCGGTTCTGCGCCCCCGCCTCCAGCAGCATGCGGGCGATGTCCTTGTGATGCTGGCGGCGCACCTTGGGGACGAAAGGAACCCTAAAAGGGTTATGGTCCATGTACCTTGGTAATATATCATGTAAGATGCATAGCAGAACCCTGAAAGGGATTATGGTATATAGAATTATATATAGTGAGGGTATATGACCCCCTAATTGTAAGGGTTCATAATTCGTCCCCAAGGTACCAGCATGAGGGACGCCGCGTAGAGGGGCGTGGAGTCGCCCTTGTCCGTGTCGGCGTTCGCGGCCAGCAAGAGCCGCACGATCTCCACGTGCCCGTGGAGGGAGGCCTCGAACAGCGGGGTCGACCGCCGCCGGCGGTCCCGCTCCGAGATGGACATCCTCACCTCAACCGTCGTCTCGCCGTCGCAGGTCGACTGGATCTCGAAGAGGTGCGTGGAGGAGCAAGTCCTGTCGATGTCGGCGCGCGCCTCCAGCAGCACCCGAACAATCCCCGCGTGGCCGCGAGAGGACGCTCGGTGTAGAGGCGTCGGATCGCTCTTGTCTTTGTCGGCCCGCGCTTGCAGCAAGAGCTGCGCGATCTCCGCGTGGCCGAACCAAGAGGCGCCGTGAAGAGGAGTGGAGCCGTTCTTGTCTGCCCGGTCCACCGACGCCCCAGCCTTCAGCAACAGGCGCACGACCTCCACCTGGGGGCTTACGATATGAGGGTTTAGGGTTTGGGGTTTAGGGTTTAGGGTTTAGGGTTTAGGGTTTAGGGTTTAGGGTTTAGGGTTTAGGGTTTAGGGTTTAGGGTTTAGGGTTTAGGGTTTAGGGTTTAGGGTTTAGGGTTTAGGGTTTAGGGTTTAGGGTTTAGGGCGCACGACCCCCACCTGGCCATTCTTGCATGCCGCGTGGAGGGGCGTGGAGATGCCCTTCTCCTTATCGACCCCTGTCGCGAGCAGGAGGTCGACGACCTCCACGTGGCCATGCGCAGCTGCCTCGTACCTCGAACCCCCAAAAAACCCGCAAAAAAGAGTCCTAAGGTCCTAAGATTTAGGGTTTGGGGGTTCGGGTTTAGGGTTTAGGGTTTAGGGTTTAGGGTTTAGGGTTTAGGGTTTAGGGTTTAGGGTTTAGGGTTTAGGGTTCAGGGTTCAGTGTTTAGGGTTTAGGGTTTAGGGTTTAGGGTTTAGGGTTTGGGGTTAAGCCCTATCCAAGAAATCCAACAAACATTCCAACACGCCTAAATACCAAACGCTCTTGGCAGAAAAACCTGCTCCGGCCCTCAGACCCCGCAAACCAGAAGACGAAAAAAAAAAACTGAATCCCTCCACCACCACCGCCGCTGCCGCCACAGCCCCCACCGCCACCCACCACCCCCACCCCCACCACCACCACCACCACCACAAAAGCACGAAATAGCACGAACCACCACCCCAAAAGCATAAACAAACAAGACACATAAATATGTACATTAGCAAATGCAGACACTGACAATACTACTAACATGCGAATGAATAACAGCGATCGCAGATAATAATACAAAATGAACGACAGAACCGTTGGGCATAAATACATATGCAACGAAATAAGAATGAATGAACGAATGCATGGGTTGAAAAAGGGAATGAATGGACGAATGAATGGAATGAAAGAAAATGAATGAGCGAACGAACGAATGAACGAATGAAAAGAAACGAACGAACGAATGAACGAAAGAAAAGAAACGAACGAATGAGCGAATGAACGAGCGAGTGAACGAATGAACGGAATACAGGCAGCAATAACAAAGCTAATGACTCAGAACAAATGCCCAATAACTAACAACTAACAGAGAATATCTACTAAGCAGTAACCAATAGCCAATAGCTAACAAAACTAAAGCGAATAATGCCCCCCCTAAACCCCAAACCCTGAACCCCAAACCCTAACCCTAAACAAACAGCTAATATAAAATTCAAAATAAAGTGAATAAATAAATACATAAAAACAAAAATAAATTAAGAAATGAATAAATAAACAAACAAACAAACAAATAAATAAAAGCAGGTGCAACTTCCGAGGCGCAAAGGTGTCGCGTCGCCTTTGTTCGCGTCCGACCCGGCCTCCAGTAGCAGACGCACCGTCGCGACCTGGGCGGGTTTAGGGCTTAGGGCTTAGGGCTTAGGGTTTAGGGTTTAGGGTTTAGGGTTTAGGGTTCAGGGTTTAGGGTTTAGGGTTTATAGGGTTTAGGGTTTATAGGGTTTAGGGTTTAGGGTTTAGGGTTTAGGGTTTAGGGTTTGAGAGGGTGTTCATTAGGGCTGCTTTAGGGTTCTGGGGTGTTCGGGGTTTAGGGTTTAGGGGTGTTTGGTTCAGGGTTTGGGGTTTAGGGTTTGGGGTTTGGGTTTTGGGGTGTTTGAGGTAGGGTGTAGGGTTTAGGGTTTTGGGGTGTTTGGTGTGTGGGGTTTGGGGTTTGGGGTTTGGGGTTTGGGGCTTGGGGTTTGGGGTTTGGGGTTTGGGGTTTGGGGTTTGGGGTTTGGGGTTTGGGGTTTGCGGACACAAATGACTGTCACTAGTGGGTTTAGTTTTTTTGCCAAGTGCGCAGCGTTTACTTTGTGAACACTCGGAGTACAGAGTTTAGGGCCCCAGTGACTTGTCGCGCCTCGCGCAAAATCCCATAACACCGCATCACACCCCCATAAACACCCTACGAAACATTCTACAACCCCTCAACGCCGCTATGCAAAAAAACACAAGAATAAACCCCTAAACCCTAAACCCTAAACCCTAAACCCTAAACCCTAAACCCTGAACCCTAAACCCTGAACCCAGCCGTGGCCCAAGGCACGTGGCCACACAGAGAGGCCAGGCCCACCGGCGTCTTGCCGAGGCGGGTCGTGTTGGGATCCTGGGGCCTGCTCTCAGGGTCTTGGGGTTTGGGGGGTTTTGGGGGGTTTTGGGGGGTTTTGGGGGGTTTTGGGGGGTTTTGGGGGGTTTTGGGGGGTTTTGGGGGGTTTTGGGGGGTTTTGGGGGGTTTTGGGGGGTTTTGGGGGGTTTTGGGGGGTTTTGGGGGGTTTTGGGGGGTTTGGGGGGTTTTGGGGGGTTTGCGGGGTTTGGGGGGTTTGGGGGTTCGGGGGGTTGGGGTTCGGGTGGTCTTGGTATTCAGTCCTTTGGAAACCCACCGCTCAACTCCTAACCCTAAACCCTGCACCCTGTTACGCTCCGAAACGCTTGTGGGCAGCATGGGATCCTAGAAGTGTCAACCAAGCCGGCCTTTGCAGAATCCTCTCGACGGCCCATTCATCACCGCGCGCGGCCTAAGATGTTCCAAGACCCAAGACCCCCAAGGGTTGACCCGAGCAGCCCTAAACCCCTAAACCCCCAACCCTAAACCAAAAAACCCCTAAACCCCTAAGCCCTAAACCCTAAACCCTAAACCCCCTAAACCCCCCCAAAAATCCCTGAACCCTAAGCCGGCTGGCTCTTCCTCAGGAATGAGGGAAGGAGGCACCCTCTATCTACCCTTTAAGGGATCCTATAGGGTACATTGCACACCCTTTAAGGGATTACGTAGGGGTAAACCCTATAAACCCTATAAACCCTATAAACCCTATAAACCCTATAAGCCCTATAAGCCCTATAAGCCCTATAAACCCTATAAACCCAACCCTCTAAACCCTAGAAACACCCTCCTATACACCCTATCAACCCTAAACCCTATACACCTCACTCCCCCACTCCCTGCGAAAAACCTTTTCGGCTCCTTATTGTAGTTTCTACAAAAACTCAAAAGGTTAAAGTCCTAAGAGCCAGGCAGAAGGAAGCCAAGAACGA